TTGGACCAAAAATTAAAATGGATGCCATTCCTCAGGAAACCATTTGTTGGAGCTGCGGTTGCGATATTCGTAATCAGCACACTCGAATCTGTAAGAGAAAACTTTTCTTTGTCAAAAAATCGGAAAAGAAATTTTATTCAGAATTTTGCCTATTTTCACATATTTGGAAAAATCGATATTTAAATTTTTTTTAACTGAAAAATATGTTCAGAAATTGGGACATTAAGTTTTTCCTATGCAACTCTATGTGGTCTATTCAACTATAGCAGAAAAACGACAAATAAAATTCTGTGCCTTACAAGAGAATAAGAGAAAGAAAGAATGTGTATATGTGTAAAAATTAGTACTTTCTATGTCACTCCCCGCTATTGTCCACAAGTGTGGACATTTCATTGCTGGACACGGTGCATCAAGACAACTTCACAGATAATTTCTTTTCGTGTGTAGTTATAGAACGGATCCTTGTAGCAATAGTTATCTACGACTATAAAAGTCCGAGAGTGGTATGTTCTAGTTAATTTTATTTTAGTCTTTAAAGTTGACGGAACGTAGAGTAATTTCATAGTAATTGACATACATTGTTGTGGTGAGCATTGCTGATAATATTCCTTGTATGACCTCGTTGGTGACCATTCTTCGATCATTAATTGCTTTACTAAATATTCAACTGCTGTATGTGGAGATGATTGTATTGAGTCTAATGATGTTATGTCATCGCTGATGTCATCCAAAATTGTATTTGTTGTAAACATTGCTGAGAATAAAAACACTCTAGTGTTGATTTTAATAATCCATCAACAATGAAACAACCAATATAAAAGTTAGATTTATTAAAAATTTCTGTGACAATGCTGTTGTTTTCTTTGTAGATGGATGATAATTCGTAACACTGAGATAGTGAATAACCACATGAACAATTGCCTTTATTATATTGCAATGACTCGAGTGTATTAAAATTGACTCCAAAATTTGTCATCAGAGTTGACATCAAACCATTTGCTCGTGATGTCAAACGTACAAATTCTATTGTGCGTATAAATCGGCGAACCTGCAAGATGACGACAGAACGAGAAAAAAGTAATATTTCTCTTACATAATTAAAAGAAAGCTTTCCTAAAGTAACTGAGAAACACTATAATAAATGAACTTTTTAAACTATCAGTAAGTTGTGAAACCATCAACAGATTCCACTTCTAAATATTTAATTAAATATCCAAAATTTGTCATCAGAGTTGACATCAAACCATTTGCTCGTGATGTCAAACGTACAAATTCTAGTGCGCGTATAAATGTTTGTCTCGGTGAGAACTGCAATTCACCAAAAAGTGATTGCATTTGCACTTGAAACGTTTGCTCAGACAACAAATATGGTGTGACAAGCAACCTTGATTGAAATTTGGTTAATTCATTACTGATTGTTTGGGACGATAATTGACATGAACGAGATAAAAATTCAAATGAATGACCAGCTGCCCGACGAAAATCACGATAATATAACTTCGTAGGTGGTATACCATTTAAATAATCAATCCATTCATCTGTGATAAATTTCGATGAACTTAATTGATGATATCTTTGTTTGAGTTGAGTAATAAATTTTTCATAAGGAATTGAAATATTAAAACAAGGACAGGTTAAACTAAATGGATATTTTTCATTGAGTTGTGTATATTGTTCGATTGATAGTAACTGGATGGTCTCTATTTTTGTACGAGGTATTACTGTTGTATATAATAGAGATAATTAATGATACTAGTAGTATTACTAAATACAATCGAGTGGATAATAATTCAAGTTTTCTTTGATGTTCGGTTGATCATCGATAAGATGCAAACAAATTATATTGCTGGATAAGATTTGAATTTTCTGTGCGTAATGCTTTTGTCATCATCTTGTAATCGAAACTTCCACTTGAATACGACCAAATAATTCTATTTCTGAATTATATTCATGTTCAAATTGTTGCATTGTACGATGTTCTTTGTCGTTATCTTCAAATAATACACGATATGTATCAATTAAACCACATTTTGATTCATCGTCAGAGGAAGAATGTAATAAGAATATTTCTCGATATTTTAAAATAAATGGATGATCCACTGGTAAGGATGGTAATGCTATTTTAAGAGCTTTAGTGCAGTACTCTAGCGCCAATTGAAAGTCTTTTTTCATATAATAGATGACTGACATTTTATTGTAAGTAACTGATAGATTTTGATAATTGTCATCTAATGACTTCAACTGAATTTCAAGTATTTTCTGTTGAAAATCTAACATTTGGTCGTAATCTTGATTTTCTAAATGAGCGATTTCAATATTCGTATAAATATCAGCTACTTATAAATTATTCCATTCCTTATTTCGAGAATTTAATATTTCGTCAATTAATTAGCACGATGGTAAAAGGGGGGGAGGGGTACAGCTATAATTTCAAATAGAGTAAATAATAAATTTTATATCAAATGAAAGCTCGTCGAAAATGGGATATATTAGTGCTAAACAATAAGGTTATGAAAACTCTCGTATATCGAAGAAATCAAGAAACTGCAGTTATGAAGATTTTATCTCAATCTCAGTTTATTAGTTCTAGACTTTTATCATATTGTCTGACTTTTATCATATTCCCAGGTCGACACTCGCGTCTAACTCGCGGCGCGATCGTTGCGAACTCGCGAAGTCGCCACGCGATCGCGGTAAAGTCGTATCCTTTCAGGAAACGTATTTTAGAAGATTCGCGACGCGATCGCTATAAAGTCCTGTAGTCGTGACGCGACTCCCCGAATCTCTCTGTATCGTCAATCATACACGTGGCCAGAGTATATATATATGCTTATATCACATGGAGCAATCTATCCTTTTCTAACATTTTTCTTCAAACAAAGAAACATGCTTCTTATAAACGTATATATATTCTCGCCACGTGTATGATTGACGATATCAATGTTTTTTTCTCAATTTATATAGACAAAAAAACAGTGCCGGTTATATGTCACTTTATTTCTTAAAGTAGACTACTTTTATACTCGAACTTTTTGCAGTTTATATCTGCTTTTTGAACCTTTTTAAAGCTGAACTAAACCATTAAAATAACCAATTTCCAGAGTAAGTACACAACAGTTGCAGTGAGAGAATAGGGATATATAAAATCCTTTCTATTTTACTGTCGCACAGTTGCAACTTTTCTCCATTCATTTTGGGTATCAAAAGTGGTTCTTCTTTCTCATG